TCACCTTTACAGCTTTAAGTGTCAAGTTCCCAAGTTTCATTTGCAGTGCAACATGAGAACTTTCCCTCACTGCTGTAAAACCCTTCTTTCCATTCAAAATGAACCACACTTCCTGTTAGCAAGCTGTAGTTCCCCACAATGCAACCATGCTTCATTTCAGGAGGGGAACCACATCCAATTTCTGCAGAGATTGGGTTAAAAGGCCTGACAGTATAAACTGACAACACAACGACCATTTTAAGATGAGCTGAACTCGTTACATCACAAAATACACCCAATCTGATGAATCTGAGGGGTTGCCAAGAGGGTAGAAAATTAGAGCTGAAGAGTTGTACTGGCCACAGCTGGAGGAACACAGTAATCCAGGTATTTATTGTGCTACATCTTCACCAACATACAGCTGGAGTCATTCACACCAGCACAGAAGAGACACTGCTGTGTGGCAGTGCTTGGCACATGCCAGTCCTGTTACAGCAATAGCCGACTGATCCTTTGACACAGGAAAATTTCAGGCCCCGACGCGCACCTTTGTTTTCCTGTGTATGGGAAAGGTGAGGCACTGCGGATAAGCTGAAATGAAATGGTCTGCCCCTCAGCCCCTCCACCTCACCCAACCAGCCTGCATACAGAAGCTACATTCCTTCGGCACAGCTGCGGACAGGGCTCCCCTGTCCAAGCCGCAAGCGACAGTCAGTACAGACACAGTGACCACAACACGTGGAGGGGGAAGTCGGTGAGATAAGGAGGGTTGCCAGTAATTCTGGCAAAATGAAAAAGTGCACTCCAGTTGGAAAAACTGGACAAACTACAGGCAGTGAGCTTTACTGATGGTTCCTGAAAAAAACTGAGAAATGAGAGATGGATATAATTGAGGCAGTTCCTTCCACCTGGGATGCCTGGGCTCATACATACTCCAAGAGCTACAGCTTACACTGCCAGCACTTTGCACCTGGGAAAAACTACATTAGAGGAAAGGAGGAGAGGTTTCAAATTTTTTCCTTATGACAAGATAAACAGTTTATTTATGCAGGTGGCAGTGTGTAATAAACAGCAAAACTATTATTTTATTATTCCTCTCCCCTAGGCTTTTTCATTCATCTGACCTCTCTTACCAGCTATTTATCCTCCCTTCCCTTCCCTTCCCCTTCATGCAGTGTGATTATAAAAGCAAGTGGATTATGTCACACTTCCTTCCTATTCAGAAACTAACTACATCACCTTCATGGGCATTATGAAGCTTCTCTGACACTACACACCTGAACCACTGCTGAGACCCTATAGAAATCATATCTGGTGTCGAATCTACCATCCAGATATCACTGGAACAAACCCAAGAAGAAAAAAAAAATCACACAGCAGGTGAAGCCCACAGAGAGAACTTCAGCCCTGCACACTTAAAAGCACAGACCAGAGCAGGTACTGCTTTATCACGTAACACCTGACTTTATGTGCTAGCAAATACCGCATCCAAAGACTCTCACCTTTGCATGAAGCTATGCTGCCATCTGGATGAAAAGAACGCTCTCCGTTCTCTAATTTATAACCATCATTGCAGTAACATCTGTAGCTTCCTTCAGTATTCACGCATCTTGCATTGCGACCACACAGCCCAGACTCCTCACATTCATCTATATCTAAAAATTCAGAGAAAAACATGTACTTCGTAATAGGTTTTAATTAATTAATGTAGGACCTAAGCTTAAAACAAATACAGCATTCCATGAATGGTTCTACACAGTTTCTGATGGCTCTTCCAGGATACAAAGGAGCTTATCACTGCCTGGTGTTCAAGCATCTGGAAGGAGGCCACTCTCAATTTCTCAGCTAGATGTCTTTTAGATTGTTTCTGTTATACCTGAAAAATAGTTTCCAGTGTTATCTCCTGCTACAAAAATCCCAGCAAAATCCCGTATCTGCAAACATCTTAATCAGTTACAACAGTTCATCCCTGTAACAAGGAATTAGCTAATATCCTACACTAAACACAAATATGATACTCTTGGGGGAAAGCAAATAGCATTTTCTTTAATCTAGCTTCTTCTTCCGGAAAGGTTATTGCTTGAATGTGGCTATGAATCAGTGACTTGTAGCACAGCAAACAATGCAAAGACAAACTAATTCGTGGTTGTTAGAAGGTAGATGTCAAGTAAGCATTTGCATACACAGCAGAAAGTGCTCTGAGGTACTTTGAGGAAGTTCTAAAGCGACGGCAAAAAAAGACTTGCACAGTAGAAAATTCAGTTCTAGATTGCTGGTGTTCAATATTCTTTGTGAAGCCTACCTGTACAGTTCGTGCCGTCATTGGGAATAAACGTCTTGTTGTTGTTGGAGGCTCGGTATCCATCAAGGCAAACACAGTAAAAACTTCCATGCGTATTATGACACAGGGTATGATTTCCACAGATCTTGCTGGCTCCAATCTGGCATTCATCTTTATCTGTCAGCACATTTAAAACACATCAGAGAGAGTTTTAGCAAAGTGGAATATCCTTCCACTTTTTGCACATCATTCTTGTGCAACCAGATTTCTCCCCACTGTTTTTCTTTCTAAGATACTTGGGATGCAAACACTGCTAGTAAGCTATAGCATTTAGCCCAACAGAAGTTGTTGTCCCTGGATGAAACTATGAGCCAAGACACCGCTTGAGTTGATCTAAGGGCTCTTGAAACCAGAGGGCCCTGCTCTCTGCTAAGCACCCACCTGATGGAGCTTGTGCTGATCTCACCCAACTCACTCAGCTGGCAGAGAATTAACACGCCAAAACACGCAGCTTGTCTTGTCTTGACCCTCTGTAATGAGGTAACTGAATTCTGTGCAGGGCTCAGTGGGTGCCAGTACACGTGGAAGAAAGGGAAGGGATGGAGAGGAAGAGAGGTGGAGGACCATCCCCTTCAAGCAGTAGAAGCTATTACATACACTTGACCTCATCCTTTGACTAAGGTATTGATTCGTCATGTATGAGACAGTATTAAAAGGACACTATCAGCTACAGTAATAAACCAACACTTTTCATGTAACAGACATTTGCACTTAAGAACTCTGTGCATATATGCACACTCATTAAAAACAGACCTTCAACTTACAAAATTTGGTTTTAGTTACCCAGTAATCCGAGATAACTGGAAAAATCAGCAAAACTGCACTAATCTTGTCAGTTCTATTGTCTAGTTTTCAGTCCAACAGTGCATAGGTTGAAAGGAATATTAAAGTGAAGCCCACCATATTTAATTATTTTTTTCTGAAGCTAAGATAAAAAATATTAAATAAACCATTCCGGTAGATTATATTTTAAAAGTAAGTATTTGATAAAACCCTATGTTTTCTAAGACAAAAATTAATTTAAACCCCTCACTATATAGCAGAAACTGAACAAAATACTTAAGCAACTAAGTACAAAATGTTATTTACATCACGAACAAGTAATGTGCAGCTCATGGCTGGATGTCGGAATGGGGTGGGGAAGGAAAAACAAACCATACACTTCCTAAGCTTTGGAAATTCACCCAGGAAATGACAAAGCTTTTGTTATGTTTGGAAGAATTCAGTAATATTACTAGAGAAATCACATTTTAGGAAAGCACACTTTCTTGACATTTTACAAACAGGCAGCCTACCTTGACAATGGGTTCTTCCATTGCCTACAAATCCGTAGTTACAGATGCAGATGCTTTTTCCTTCGATTTGATGACATGTAGCATGAACATGGCAAGTTGCACAGACATCTGCAACTGATCTGTTCACAGCTGCTTTAAGAACAAAAAGACACAATTTTTTTTCTTTTTTTTAAAGGACAATAGAAGTGGTCAGGTATGGGTAAAGTCATAGAATCATAGAATGG